TCGGAAGACGTACTCTCTTTTATTAGTCCTGGGCAAACGCAAACACGCGAACCGGATAGTTGTAGCCATTTACATCGGATACACGTCGTCGTGTAATTCTCAGAGGATGATGCAATCGAGACACATACGCAGTAATGTGTCGATTGCCTGGCATTTTACGTCATCGTGCTCAAAGCGGAAAGTTTAATGGTAATAGTCAACTATTATTATAACGTCGGTCAAGTGACGCTCCTCTCGGATGTAAAGATGGGCTTTGAAAGTGTATTAGCATCGGAATTATGTCGAGAGACATTGTAAAATGAGATCCACAATGCTTTTCATCACGTATTATCCATACAACCGGGTTTTCCTCACGCGTCAATTATAAATTACATTTGCCAGCCGCGTTTCTTGAAATTTCACACGGCACGCAAACGTTAACATATCGCTAAAAATCTCGAAAATAGAATGTAATTTTTGAAATTAATGTAAATGAAGAAGACTCTTTCTGATATAAAATCACGAATAAGAAATGGACCAACGAAAATTTTCAGCTATACTGTATAATTACAGTATAATGGCGAATAATGCTAAAGTAGAAAAGTGCAAAAAAAAAAAAACACCGGACGTTTCGGGCAACTTTAAAAAATTCTTTTATCAGCTTAAAAATAAAAGAAGAAATCTTTGAGGGCACTTTTTTACTACTCTTTCAGCTTCGAAAGCTGGAAATTGCAATAGTATCGAGATAAAATGGTTCATAAAATGATTTATTCATTGCCTCTCGACAAGCGTCTCGTAAATTCGTTTAAAATTGATTTTAATAATGGATTGCGCGCGATACAGCCGCTCGAGGCTAGGCAATCGAAACTCGTTATCTTGTCGAATCGGTGCGTACCGATTAGTCCGCTGAGAAACAATCCCATGCGCGCGTTCGCAAAAAATGATCGGCACTATTTATGGAGCACTAAAATTGCGTGATAGCTCGCTCGTAAAATCCGACCAATTGCTATCGCGGGGGTAAGAAATAACCAGTGAAATAAGCATCCGATGCCATTAAAGAGTGCGACTGGTGGGACGAAGGCGCTCTTTCATTGCTGCTCAATTCGCAAAAGCGAAATAATTGCACATCCCCGTAATTCGTATCCGTAATACGAGCCATCTCTCGATTTCTTTGAACGCTACTAATCTAGTTTGCACAAACGCGCTCCCTTTACAAAAGGACAACAAATTGCCCCGCTGTCATCCTTCTCCCTTTGCGGTCGCGCTATCGCGGCACTGTATGTGAAACGAGATTATTAAAGACAAATAATTTGCGTAAAGCCGCGAGATCGTATGCTCTGCAAACAGGATAATGGATTTATGCAATTTGCTGACCTGCATCTGAATCAATAGAAACGAGGATGTTCAAACGAAAAGCTATTTACAGTAGAATAAAAAAAATAAAAAACGAGAAATCAATTATCCGTGTGTTCCGTTCTACATAAATCACAAATTAAATAAATAAATAATAGATAACAATAATAAAAGAAATATTTCATCAATATAACAACCGAATCTTTTAAACACATAATTGAGGTAAACACAAATTAAAGATAAAAATTATAATTTAATATTTTATTTATTGCATTAATGAATAAATTTTACCGATGGTGTTAATAAAATGATAAAGCGTAAGCGCGACGATACTGCTATTAATTTGGTTGCAAACACGTTTTAATGGCTTTAAATTATAATGCATAGATAAGAGATGAGGAGGGTAAATGGGCGTAAGATAACTACAACGGAGGTATTGATTGCGCTTTAAGTGCAAACGCAGAGACTGAGAAACCCATATTGTACGAGACTCAATTCATTTCACAATACTGAACCTGCACATAGCTGAGTAATCGTTTAAGGAACTCAATTCTGCAAAGGGATAGCATCAAATTATCTGCCTCGTTTCTGGTATGGCTAGAGAAAGCACATTACCATTGTTCTCTGCGCGTAGCTACGTGTATTAGTAACAAACTAAGCTAAAAACTTAAGTTTTTTATCCCCGATATGATCACATACGGATCAAAGCGCTTACGTTGTTAAAATTCATGATTACGTGCTAAAAATGCATGAGGAAGCACATTAATATTTATGAAAGTCATTATCTGATAAAATTCTGAATCGAGTTAAACGCGAAGTTTGTGTGTGTATGTGTGCGTATATGTGTATGTAGACCGCAAAATTGCAAAAATAATTTTTCAAGCTCTAAATTCACCATATTTCCTTGTTATATATAATTTATAGTTCACGTTGACCTCATAATGGATATGAACTCTTGACAGTTTGCTATCTAACAATAAGCTTCGTGCTTTATTCGTCGTCAAGACTTCTTAGTTCTAAATTATTGAGGAGACTTCACGGAAGCCTTGTGGCTTATGTTTGACATCTTTATCGCTTCTGAATGAGAAATGTAGGTGTATTTACCGAAATATAAATAGGAAATGCCAAAGGATATCCAGTGAATATTCTGAAATTGTAATTGGAGATTTTTTCTTCTATATCTTTTTGTAATACCAAAAGAGCGCGTACAAATTGAATTATAAAATATAAGATTATAATGTTGCAAAAGTTTATGTATACATAATTTCTCTCATTTATAAAAGGATAATACATATTAAAATATTAAATTTAAATAAATAATAAAATATATTAAATTTAGCCATTAATATCTGATCTCTATTATCCATTTAGCAATGCTTATAACAATATTGTATGGAATAACTGTTCATATAACAAAGTTGCTGAGGACATAAAAAGTTTTAAACATGTTTCATCAAACATATTTTTTTATAATAGGAAATAAAAATTTATAATTTCATAGAAAAGGTCAACTTTTAACGTTTAGTTTTTTATACATACGTCGAAACACTGATTTCACAGATTTATCAAAGGAGAATCATTTGATCGATAAATTACATGCACCGGTGGGTGGAATAAAACGCTAGGCGCTACTTAAGCTTTGCGGTTCATCGATAGGTTAATAATGGAATTACTCGGCCGAGTTTCAAAATCTATCACTTAAACTGAGATAGGAATGCCTGAATTTGCGAGATATACGATGAATGTGTTCACGTGATATGTTGAGTACTGCAAAACTCAATCGAGTAAATTTTGAATGTCGAACATGTCTATACATATAGATGTTTATATATACATATGTATATAGATAAAAATTTGAAAATAATTTTATTCCAAACTATTTTTCATTAATTTTTGCCCAAAAATTCATTCTTTCTGTATCGCGATTATATAATTTCTGATCTAATTTATATAATCATAATAGTTAACAAAATTTTAATAATTATTTGAAATACTCAAGTGTAAATTATTCTATGTTGCATATGCGAATCAGAGTGAGAGACTGAAATAATGCATGAAGAAGAATTTAGGATTTCAGCTGGAACTAGAATTTTAGCTCTATTGATTTTGGCAAGAAAATGTGTGTGTGTGCGCGCGCGCATATGTATATGTGTATTAAGATTAGTAGAAAATTTCTTAATCGATAAATTATTCGACGCCCAGTGTGAACACGACATATGATTCAAAACCACATTCCGGTTCACCAAGCAGAGTTGATAATGGAATTACTCTGAAACAAGTTTCGAAATCTGCCACTTAATCGATGATCAGAAACAAGTAGTAGCCTATGCTACTGGTCGATCTCTCGTGTACCGTTACACCTGTTGCATAGCATCTCATATCTGTCCGATAAATAATTTTACAATATCGACTTTTTACTTGCAGTTACATATATATATATATATATCTGTATGACTAATATTGTTCACCAATAATATTTCAAATACTCCGCACTTTTCATATAGGCAAAATATTGAAAATGACATTTTAAAACACGTTCTAGTACTTAAATATCTAAATATTAAAAATTAGTGTAAATACTCA